CAAATTCGAACAAAACATTCGAAATAGAAAGCCACTTTCAACCACTTTCAGCCTCATATCTCCCGCACCCTTATAGCTATCGAGACGCAACCACCCCTATGCACGAATGGAGACTTGGGGCTACCACCACATACAAACAGCATTCACGTGCGATGTGTAGTTTTCGCGGAAAAGTGAAATATAGGGACATACACGTCCATTTATATATATATATATATATATAGATAATAGGATTAAAATAAATTCGAAATTTATTTACTTTTATGAATTATTCTAATTATATTGCTGATACGTTTCGTAGGCGGCGGTAGTCTACAACCTAATTCGCCAAATTAGTAGCGTATAGGTCTACATGCAATCTATAAATAAATAAATAATATATATATGATTCATTCCTCTGCCCGCCGCATATAGGAGGCTTCATTCGCTCTGCATATAGGAGGCTTCATTCCTCTGCCCGACGCAGCCGGCCCAACTCCCTGCTCGCTCCTTTGCTTTCGCCTATTGTTCCCAATATATATATTATTCATAAAAATGTCATATGTAAACCTTCATGAGTCTATGTATATATAGACAGATGAAAAGAATTGTAGAATTCCGAATGAGGATCCTGTAACGTAAATTAAGTTCAGATCTGTTTCGAAATGACCTCCATACTCAAATTAATTGGAACGTCCCGATTCAAGAATCTTCAGATTCCAGAACAAACAAACAAAACAGGCTCTTTTTTCGAATCAGTCAAATCACGATTGCTTTGAACGTCCCACAGAAAAACATTTCCGATTCCATGGTTACGTGATTCCCTTAGCTCGCTCGCCTCTCGGGCTTCACCCACTTGTTTCCAATATAGACTATTCATAACAAAGGTTTCGTGATGAAGGATGAGTCAACACCTCCGCGAGAAGCCAATCCCCTTGGCCCAATCCTCACTCGCTTACTTGTTCAAAAATTTCGTGAAGATTCATACATATTTGTTTTTTTTTCGTGTCAATTTAAAGATAAATATTTTATGTATTGAATACAGAAAAGATATTATTTATTTATTTATTTAAAATCTACTTCAAATATTCTAGTATAAATAAATTATTAAGTATTTTTCATTATTTAATAAAAATTAATAATCTTTGATACTTTATCTTGAATTCTTGAATACAATAGTCTACAATTATTATTATTATTATTATTATTTTAGAAATAGAAGCTAATCCGACTCCTTCGGTAAGTGTTAACTTATTAATTTCTTAGTTTACAAAATTTTGTTAATTTAAAATCTTAGATTACATTATTTAAATTAAATACTGTAATTAATTCCTCAAATATCTCTTATCAGCTGCAGACCTATAATGTGTATTTTGAAAATAGATATTTTTTTTCTATATTTTCATCAGATGATTAAATATTGTTATGAAAATCAAAATTTATTGCTATATTGCTAAAACACAATCATTCTATTATATATTGAAAGATATATTGAATATGTTCCCTTGTACAAAAAATTGATGATATAAAATAGTTTAGTAGAACACTTATAATGTTTAGCAGTTAACAAAATACACTAATTTTTTCAGTTGTACAAAACAAACATTGCTCTGAGAAAAAAAATTTCCATCGTTTAGTATCCAGCAATTCTAATTTTGATTCGTTACTCCAAATAAAACGCTTCCAAAACTCCGGATGTTTGTCTATAAATACCTTGATTAAACTAATCTTTTTTTATGATTTACTGCTGAAATCCTTGGTTTCTTACATGCAACTCAACTCTTCCGTGGATACCATTTAATCTTTTCTTAATAGTTGAAACGCTGACTAAATATTAAACTCTTTTTTAATATTTTTTAGCTGTTACAAAAAGATTTCCGGTGGTCTCACGGCAAATCATGGATTTTCTCTTGTTATTGTAGTTTTAGGGTGGTGTCTCTTGGTACATTTCTCATTGTATCGTTATTTAAATATTTAATCAATATTTTTTTGACTTCTTGTCGTGATATTTGATGCAGTTTTGCAACAATAGAAAGAGAATCACCACTTTCATGCTTATATAAAATCTGCGCTCTTTCTTCAAGTCTCAATTCTCACTCCCTAGCGTACAGATATCTCTTGCTTAACGTGGGATTTGATTAACACACAAAATTAATTGGGCCAATCTATTTATATACGCGGCAGAAGTTTTAATTTTAGCGGCTTTATCAGCTGTTCTTAATTAACAAAGATACCGTATTGATTAACGCGATTTTGATACACGCGGTTTTGATAGGATCTGGGGATTTATTAACCGCGTTAATCAAGGAATACCTGTACTTTCTTATTGAAACTAAAAATCTATTTAATTGACAATTCTGGATTTAAATTTTGTATAATAACCAGTTTGAAATTAATGTTTTGCTTACTTACATTGCTTTCTTTGTTGTCAACTTTCAAATTGATATAAGATGCGTTTCATAAACATGAAGGCACTAATAGATTTCCATATAAAATCATTTACACTCAAAACTCTGCAAAAATAATTTACCTTTGGTTTGTTTGAACTTTCATAAATGCACATGTAAAAAGATAGCCATTTATTGAGACAGAAAAATAAATAACAAATTAAAGAATTACAATCAATTTGACTGCCCCCAAAACATAAAGTCATATACAGTAATAAAGTTAAGTGAAACAATTTACGACATGTTAATAAATTGTATTTAAAAATAACCTAATATCCAATGAAGCCCCCTACGGCTAAAATAACTTTGTAAATGTGGTCTGGCGTTGATTGTATGAAGTTTTAGTGGAGAGATGCACTTATTTCCTCCTAGTGACAAATTATGGCTTGATTTAATTTCTTTTCATTATTATATTTGCATTTGCAAATACAGCTCTAGTCAAAAATCCCAGAGATTTTCCATCGGATTAAAATCAGGAGACAGAGCTAGCCAATTAGTAATAAGCATATCATTAGCTAAAAACTATTCACGCGTAGAGTTTGCTATGTGAATGGAGGCATTGTCCTCATTCACACAGCGATTTCCAACAACATGTTCAGAAAGAGCGAGAAATTGCTCGCCAACATGACTTAATAATTATTTGCTTTTGTACGTCCTTGTAAAACAGCAAGTGGAGCCTTTCTTTGTCAATTAAAACCACACCTCACCATAACTGAACTACCACCTTGTTTGCGTTCGGAATATACCCTTCCTTTTTTCTCAAATCATGCCAATAGTAACTCAAACTATCTGGACCATCAGCATTAATTTTTTCGCCACTCTAGATTATTTGTTTTCACGTATTTTTTCTTGGCCTATAGTAAACGATTTTTCCTTGTGAATGGGCTTTAATTATGGAGCAGGTTTTCTTGACTGTGTATACAAGATTCCAGCATGTCTGCACAACTCTTCCAATAGTTGATTTTACAACATTGCACTTGGGTGCTGCTGCTTATTTCCGAAATGATCTTTTTCTGCTTGCAATCTGGCGAAAAATTGTTTGTTTTTCCCTATTTGTATGTTTTAAAGGCCATCCTGTTGATTTCTTTTCACCATGTTTATCATCAAGTTTAATAAAGTTGTTGATTACAGTGGATGACCGATTTGCTTTTTTAGTAATTGTTCTTGCAAAGTGATTTTTACCTTTAAAAGCAAGAATTTACTTTTCTATAAGTTCATTAGAGATTTGCTTTTGCCCACTTTTAAATTAGTGATTCTAATGAACGATTCTGTATTTATTTCTAGTAGTTTCTGCTGGGTTAACGTTGACCTCTGGTTTCTTAACATCAATCTGCCTTTATATTTGAGACAGCCAACTAATTGTTTAAGCTAATTGTTTAAATTCGCTTACTGTCATAATAAGTTATTTTTTAAAAGTATATTTTTGAAGGTTTAAATAAATCTACATATATAATCGAGACGAGTTGATAATAATAATAATAATAATAAGCGCAGAGCTCAAACGGTTAGGAGTTGAAAGTTGAAATTTGGTACACAGTTAGGGTACGTCACGAAAACGCACACTAAGAAGGGATTTTTCGAAATACCTCCCCACGGGGGAGAGGGACAGGATTAAGGCTTAACACTTCCATCAACAATGGAAGTGATAACAATGGAAGTGTTACGTAACAATGGAATTGTTAAGAGAAAGCCACGTGCAAGACACAGATGCAGTTTTTTTCGTTTTTGCGGGAAATCGAAGATATTTCTAGACCCATCTAAAAATTCTCTAATTAGTCCGGAAACAGGAGGACCCAATCCTTGCATACTGTGAAAACGGGTAAGGTTGACTATAACGTAATAATCTTAATCTTCACTTTCGTTACTTTTGATCGAGCAACGCCGGGCCTACCCGCTAGTTGGAAATAACATATAATAGAACATTTTTTCGTGAATGATTTTATACAGAAATATATTAGTGCTTTTATATTTATGGCGCGCGCTTTAAAAATAATTTACTTTGTGCTCTTAATTGTTTGAATTGTTTATTTCTGCAACAAACCGATCAGATATCTAATTATAATGTGTCATAGCAAGAGTATTGTAATATGCAAAGTAGTTAGCAGACCGGAATGCATTTGTTTTTTTAGTGTTAAAAACACTATTTTTTCAATATTGTCAAACTTGAAATAATGTCGGACACGTGCTGAAAATCTGGAAAACTTCACCTGGTCAGTCTGTTGATCAGGGGAGAACTCGCGATCAACTACCAGGTTTCAATGGTTTTATCCTCTTGGCCACTGTTTGCTCGTGGGTAATAAGAGTGCCCTTTTATCAAGCCCATCGTAGGTTCGGCCAAACTTACAATAGAGCCGTCCGGTGGTGAGAGACGGACCCGACATATTTGGGACAGACAGCTCATGTAAAATTTCTGGGGTTTTACGACAGCCCAGATTCGATTCCGTGTCTTCCTCGAATTGTAGTTTGACGCCTTACTAACCGTCAGCCGTACGGAGATATTGGACACTAAGAAAAGTTTCGTACATTTGGAAATTGGCTAGATCGCATGAGACACACATTGTCAATTGCAGTGTAAGCGAGAAAAATTGTTCGCATCTCATTCAAGAATTCCCTGAAAATATCCAGGTCTTATTTTTTTCTGAACGAAATCATTTATAAACGAGCAATTATTTATTGTGACATCGTCACAATGCGGGTGCAATTTTTTAAATCTTAATTTATTTAATTTAAAACATATGCTGACTTCTACCTAAATTAGTAGTGTCTGGCCCCTGTACATCACACTTTTCCTGCTAGCAACAAAGTCCTGCCGGTGATCTATCTAACTTTTTCCAGGTGAAAATTTTTGAATTGAAAGAATGTATAGTTATTTGGGGTCCCCTGCTTCTAAGCTTTTCTTATCTGCTCTCAACATTCATCTACCTAACTTTGCTCTCGAGATTAAGAAAGGACAAACAGACAGGCAATAGTGTGAATTTATAGGTCTACAATTTTTTCAAATTGCAGCCCAATGGTATATTTTGTCTATTTCTTAAATTGTTTTACTTTCTCTTAAGGCATCTCAGTTTTGCAGTTTCACGTGTACCGTTTCATGCGCTATCTTTGATAAAATAATGTGAACCGCCGGAAAGGGTGTAGGTCTCCCAATCCGGCAACGGTTGATTAACCCTGTTCACGGTCAGGATGGATTATTTTTTTTCTTTATTTATCCCGCTGTAACGGGAGGGCGAGTCGAGTGCGGAGGAAGGAGTGCCGTCGGTAAGACGACAGGCGATATACGAGTAAACGAAGAGGCCAGATGTAACAAAAAAAATAACAATTTATTAAAGCTAATTTTCGGGTAATACAACGTCTAGTTCTCGTCCCTAAAGCGCGGATCTTCCGAGAGAGCGCTTACAATAAATGGCTCCATACCTCTTTATAGATCGTTATCCAAACGAGGAAAAATTATCGCCTCTAGTTGAGGACAGTTCTTCGTAGTAGGACACAATTTTTAACATAAAAAGGACACTATTTTCAATCGTAAAAAGGACACGATTTTTAAACGTAAAAAGGAAACTATTTTCAATTATTTGTCTCCGTCTTGCGCCGGTTCTTGAACGACTCCCCCGAGAAGGGGAAGGAAAGGGTTTTTATAAGATCGGCGTGGGAGAATGGTCACGTGATTGATTGTTGTGAGGTAAAAGGTACGCAGATGGGTCAGAGTTGTTGCCGGGCTCATGCTAACTATCAACTTTGGAGTTGGAATATGGGATTAGTTTCGAAATGAACTGATGTTTACCTCGAATAGAA